TGGGAGCGCTTGGGAGCGCCTGGAGCGCTTGGGAGCGCCTGGGAGCGTCGTGAGCGCCTCAAACATCATGGAATTCATATGGTAAAACTGAGGATTCTGCGAGGGCGGCGCACTTGGTAAAGAAAGTCTCATAGGCGGATGAACGCATGATCAGAACATCTTACTGTTGCAAGGGGTGGCGGAGGTTTACGTCCGCGGACGCGCATTTGCATTGTAAATCGGAATGGGTTACGCACGCATGCTCAAAAAAATGTTTGCAAGGGGTGGCGAAGGTTTACGTCCGCGGACGCGCCATTTGTATTGGAAATCGCAATGGATTATGCACGCATGATCAGGATTTTGTTTTGCAAGGGGTGGCGAGGGTTTACATCCAGGGCTGTCACGAATTTGCATTTTTTTTGCAATGGATTATGGGTTCAGGAGTTCGGATCACGGTTGGGACGCATGGAGCCAGAATGTTCAGGGTTTATTCATCATAAAATTAAGGGCTTCGGGTTAACAGAACGACTCAGGGCTAGAAGCCCGTCCTGGGGAAGTGGTGCGGACCTCTTGGGGCCACGCATCGAAGAAGCTGGAGCCGCCATGCGTCTGGGTAGGCCCAGACATGCTCGCGCCGTGAACGAAGAATCAGCACAGGGGGTGGGCAATTTCCGGGCCCTCGCCGGGCCGCGGGGGGCTATCAAATAGCGGCTTTGGACGAAAAACAGGTCCAGGGGAAATGGTTTGGACTTCCGGTGACCCCGCCGTACGACAAAAATCGAATCATCGTGCATGTCTGTGTCAGGGGGATCCCAGACCTCCTCGGGTCATGAAACAATCATGACGGAAGGTGTTGCGCTATCTTCGGCCTACGGGGGTCCTCGCCGGGCCTCGGGATCGTCAAAAGATTCTTCAGGACGTCGGGGGTCTGGGATACCTCAGGGGGGGGAATCGATAGGCTTCGCAGTTTTTGGATGTTTTCGCTGCCGGGGGGTGGTTTCCGTCAGGAGCGCCTCGTCCCGAGCGTGCTCGGGGGGCCCAGAGCGCCCCGAGCGGCCGCTGGAGGTCCGAGTTGTGGCTTCGAAGGGCAGGGAGCGGGAGGTCGAGGACGACGTCGGGCAGGGGGAGGGGCTCAGCTGGGGACGCCTCGGCCCCCCAGCGCCCATGGATCGCCGAGATGTGGGCCCGGCAGCCCACCCCGCCCCGTCACGTGCGGTGTCGCTTTCGGGGGCCAAGTGCCGAGCCCTCGGCGGTGTGTCGCCGATGCCATGTCGATGCTCACCCTCCTGAGCCAGATCCTCTGGAAGTGCCTTCGGGGCAGCTCAGGGGTGACCAAAAAATGAAGGTGTTTGTGTGCCACCGCATTTTCTTTTGCGGCGTTGGGCGCCCTGGCGCGGACGGCCGAACGACCCCTGCAGCGGGGCACCCTGCCCACACGGTCGGCGCCGCAAAAACTGCGCGTTCAACGCGGGCGCCGCGCAAAGGCTGCGCGCGCTCGCGCCGTGGGCGTCATGCCCCCCCCTGGCAGCTGACGATTTTGCACCGAGCTCTCCAGTCAGGTCATGGGGGGGGCAGGGGGGGAGGGGAGAGTCAGGCGATCGCAAACATGGAGCAAGGGGGCGTGGATCAGCGACGGGTCACGTTTCCATGGGACATCGCGGATCTCCGCCGCCGAGCGAGGCGGCAACTGGCCGCATTTTGGGGAGGGCACCTCCCCCGAGATCCGTGGATGTGGCGGCCGCGCGCCAAGCCCACGGATCGCCAGTCCATGTTTGCGCGACAGGGTGGGCCACGCCTGCCTCCAAGACCAAGCGGGCCGCGCCCGTAGCCATTTTGGCTCAAGCCATTTGGTTCAATTCATCGGTTCAAGCATTGTGGCCCAGACAAGACCGTCGTGGGTCGCGACGGGACGCCACGGTGATGGATCCAAACGTGCAGCCCCTCAGTCCCTCGACAGGTGCACTTCTCACCGTAGACCCGGCTTTCACCAAAGCTCTCAAATATTTCCCATGGCTGAAGGCTGTCATGTGGGTGCAGTGGGTCGCCTTCACACTGTTCTTGTTTACGTTGCCCCTTTTGTCAGATGCCATGAACAACGGTGTTCGTTTAGGTGGCATTCAAATAATTGACCCAATGTGGCCGGAGTTATGCAAAACACCTGCAGATCAGATTCACTGCGGATCCGGGCAGAATTATACAGAGATTGCTGTTGCGCTCGGGAGGCAGGTCGATGGGCAGTACGTGGGGTGCGGGTGTGGCGAGGGCGTTCTGGGTGACAATGCGTGCATGGTCAACATTCCTCAGAACTACCTCGCCGGGAAGCCGGACGGTTTCAGCGTCAGCTACTACATCGGGACAGGACCCGGTACGGGGAGCATGGCCGCCTTGAGCAGCCTTCCGATCCTGGGGATGTGGGGATACGGTCTTGGCAGCTACGATCAGTGGCTGCCCAATGCAGGCCCGTGTTTCGGGTGGTATCTCGGGAGAGCGGTGGCGGCAACGCTGACGACGTTCCAACTTTCATATGGCGGGTTTCTGATGTGTACATATTGTATTTACCCGACGATGCATTTTGCGTTCGTGAGCACCTTCATTGCGTCCTTGGCTTTGCACTTTGCGCTGATCGCTGTGATCATCTGCTATTCTCGCAGTAAGACCGCGTTGGACAGCAGGCTCTCGCTCGCGATCATGGTCATAACCGTGCTGGGATCTTCGCTCATGGTGATTGGAACCTTGTGGCCAACGAGTCCGTCCTGGATGGGGCAGCACGCCTTTTGGCTGGCCGAATGCGTGGGACTTTCGACTGGCTCCCTGATCGGGCCGCTGGTCTTCACGTATGGGAGCACCGACGAGAGCGCCACTGCCGACGATGCGCTCCTCCACGCCGAGTCCTAGCTGATGCGGGCAGCTGGCGGAAGCCGCGGTGGTGTGACGAGGCCTTCTTGGTGCAGCGCTCCCGTGAGTTCAGCGGGCTCGCGAGGGAGGAGCGCCAGTCGAGCAAGCTTGTCGGTTGCCCGGCATTGTGTAGGGCATGGGTGAACAATGATCTCACAGCCAGGCACGTGAACAAATGATCTAACAGCCAGGCAGCATGAACGGCATTGGAACGTGTTGGTCGCCTGTTCTCTCCCTCTGTGTTCAGGCCAACGCGTCGCCTTTTTCGCTGGGGCGGAGCCTCGCGGTGGGGCCTTGTTGGCGAGAGCGACGCTGCTGTACCCCAAAGAAAAAAAATAGCCTGGCGAAGAACCCAACCATATGCAGTTGTCAGTACCGCAGCTGCGGGTTTCATCTTCAGTGGAACTCCCCATAGGACTACGGAACGTGTGAGGGGTGTGCCGAGATGGGTGCCACTTGGGCATTCGGCGAAGCTCCCTATGGGGACATGAAACACGCGCGGAGCGTGCCGACATGGGTGGCGGAAGCGCATGTGAGGGCCGCCAGTGGGGCCTCCAGTGGAGCTCCCTATGGGTCCCCGAAACATGATGTTGCTGCGGGGGGGGTGCCGGGATGGGTGGCGGAGACGCACGTAAGCGCCGCTACTGGGGCCTTCGGTGGAGCTCCCTATGGGGCCACGAAGCGCGTGAGGGGTGTACTGGGAAGTGTGGCGGGGACGCATGTGAGCGCCGCCACTGGGGCCTTCGGTGCAGCTCCCTATGGGGCCACGAAGCGTGTGAGGGGTGTGCCGAATTGGGTGCGGGTGGTGACGCATGCGGGCGGTGTCACTGGGGCCTTCGGTGGAGCTCCCTATGGGGCCACGAAACCTGTTGTTGTGAGGGGCGTGCCGGGATGGGTGGCGGGGACGCATGTGAGAGCGGCCGCTGGGGCCTTCGGTGGAGCTCCCTATGGGGCCACGAAACGTGTGAGGGGTGTGCCGAATTGGGTGGGTGTGGGTGGCGCATGTGAGCGCCGCCACTGGGGCCTCCGGTGGATGATGGGGCCACGAAACCTGTCAGGGATGTGCCGAAATGGGTGTGCGGGACGCATGCGCATGTGAGCGCCGCCACTGGGGCCTTCGGTGGAGCTCCCTATGGGGCCACGAAACGTGTGAGGGGTGTGCCGAAATGGGTGTGCGGGACGCATGCGGGCGGCAGCACTGGGGCCTTCGGTGGGGCTCCCTATGGGGCCACGAAACGTGTGAGGGGTGTGCCGAAAGCGGGACGCATGCGGCGGCAGATCGGTGGGCTCCCTATGGGGCCACGAGCGTGTGAGGGGTGTTGGGTGTGCGGGACGCATGCGGGCGGCAGCACTGGGGCCTTCGGTGGGGCTCCCTATGGGGCCACGAAACGTGTGAGGGGTGTGCCGAATGGAGGATGATGACGATGATGATGATGATGATGATGATGATGATGATTGATGATGATGATGATGATGATGATGATGATGATGATGATGAGATGATGATGATGATGATGATGATGATGATGATGCTGATGCTGATGCATGATGCTGCTTGATGCTGATGCTGATGCTGATGATGATGACGATGACGATGGATGATGATGATGATGATGATGATGATGATGATGATGATGATGATGATGATGATTGATTAAGATGATGATGATGATGATGCTGATGATGATGATGATGATGATGATGATGAGGAGGAGGAGGAGGAGGAGGAGGAGGAGGAGGAGGAGGAGGAGGAGGAGGGAGGAGGGGGAGGAGGAGCGGGAGCGGGCGCTGTCTCTTCAAAACGAGGACCCAACACCACAGGATGGTTGGGAAAAAGACCAAACGGGCCGCGCCTCGGCCCTCGGGCTGGACGCGCTGGCCCCCAGCACCTGGCGCCCGGGACGAGGCCCTGCTGCCTCGGTTCCGGAAGGCGGGGGAGGAGGCGGTCCTCCTCATTCTCCTGGAGCTCCTCTGCCGCTGGGCTTGCGAGGCGTCTCATGTTCTTGAAGGATCTTCTTCTGTCCCAGGCCAGGCCATCTCGCCCCCCTGCGGCCCGCAGCCCCTGCCGCAGCTCCTCGTCCTCCTCTTTCTGATCCTCTCTCCGTCTCACCCTCCCCCCACCCCAGGAGGGCCAGGACGTGTGGTTTACAGACAACAGAGAGCTGCAAGCGCAGACTGACGGGGTCGCGTTCCGCTACTCCCCGAACCTCGCCGATACCGACGGCAGGTTCGTGGTGAACTGGGGCTCGGCAGTGCAAGGCTCGGCTTTGGGGACGGCCTCCCCTCCTCCCTCTCCTCTTCCTCCTCCTCCTCCTCCTCCTCCTCCTCCTCCTCCTCCTCCTCCTCCTCCTCCTCCTTCCCCCTACTCCACTTCCTCCGCTCCCTCCTCCCTTCCTCCACCCTCTCCTCCTCGTCCTTCCTTCTCCTCCTCCTTCTCCTCCTCCTCCTCCTCCTCCTTCTCCTCTGACTTTTTACTTCGCAGAGAGCCAGTGACACTTGCTGTGCTGGCCGATTGATCCTCCTCCTTCCTCCTTCGCTTCTTCCCCCGCCACCTCCCCCTCCTCCTCCTCCTCCTCCTCCTCCTCCTTCCTGCTCTTCTCGCCTCCTCCTCGTCCCACTCCCTCCTCATTCTCCCCCTGTCCTCCCACCGCCTCGTGTCCTGCTCCTCGGCTTCTGCCTCCCTCCCCCTCCCAAAATGTTACCCCTTTCTTGTCCTCCTCCCTCCCTCAGCTGGTTCGCCTATTGCGGGTTTGCTCGTGCGTGGCTCCTGGTTTTTGCTCGGTCTTTCGCCGTGCCACCCGTGGCTCACGGAAGGAGGGGGGGGATGAGGAGGAGGAGGAGGAGGAAGAGGGAGGAGGAGGAGGAGGAGGAGGGGGAGGAGGAGGAGGAGGAGGAGGAGGAGGAGGAGGAGGAGGAGGAGGAGGAGGAGGAGGGAGGAGGAGGAGGAGGAGGAGGAGGAGGAGGAGGAACATAAGGAGGAGACGGAACAGAAGGAGGATGAGGAGGAGGAGGAGGAGGAGGAGGAGGAGGAGGAGGAGGATGGATGAGGGAGAAGCAGCCACCCGCCTGAGCAGCACGTGGTTCACCCTCGCCTGAACGTTTGCCTTTTGGCCGTGGCTGTGCGCGTGATGCGCTGTGCCCCTCTGGGGAAAAGAAGCCTCAGGAACACGAGGATGTGGAGAAGGAGGCACAGCGCGTCGCTACAACAGGTATCTGCGAGCTTCCCCCCACCGCTGCCGCCAGAACTGTCGTCATCGGCACTCCGTATGTCCGCACCGTTCACGGCGTGGCTTCCCAGAGCTGTCGAGCCCTTCCCGTGGGCCGCGCCCCTTCGGCGCCGTCGCGGGCAGAGCGATTTCTGTTTCAGGGACCTCTGGCGGGGTCTGGCGTCCGCTCGTGGCGCATTTGGCGCGTCCAGGCCAGGTTGGCGCGCGTTTGGCGCGTGCGCAATCATCTGCTCTCGCGCGCAGTTGGCATGTCGCTCTAGGTTTCCTTGCCCGCGCGCTTGTGGCGTATGGCTGCTTCGGCGGGGCCTGGCGGGGGCACGTGCCGTGCTCGACGTGGTTGCCCTCGCGACGCCGGGGGCCTCGGCCCTCCCCCCCCCCCGCCCTCGCGGGTCTGCGGCCCTGGGCCTTGGCGCCCCTGCCCCGGGCGAAACTAGGGGGCCACATGCGAACCCCACCCCTGCCCCCCACGATTTCGGAGGGGTGGGGTGCGGTTCACTTCGTTCGAGAGCTCCCGAGCGAAGTGAACCCCACCCTCCCCCTCCGAAGTGGTGGGGGGGAGGGGTAGGGTTCGCAGGTGGCCCCCTAGAAACGACCCAGGCCACTACCCAACTCGAATGCCTGGGGACCGGTGTGAAGTCCTTGGCTTGCGGACCCAGAGGCCTGTGTCCTGACAAACTTACGCACTGCTCGTTTCTCACTCTTCGAGAACTCCTTGATTCTTTGGTGGGAACGAGAGCCTTTCACTTGTACGTGTGCTATCCTGGGCCTCTTCCTGGCCACTAGGGGGCCGAGAAAAATTAGAAGCGAGCGCAATTAGAAATGAGCACGATTGGAAGTGAACGACGTGTACACCTGCCGGGAAGGAGTCCTGACTGACGCCCCTCGTGGGCAGGGGGGGGGGAGGGTTGACGACGCCTGCTGCACGCAGCTGGTGTCGTCCCCGACGCCAGGCGCATCCCTCGACGAGTGAGCGACGTAAGAAGTCGGGACAACTGCGTCGATACTCGCGCGTACAATTTTCTCGTAAGGCCGCGCGTAAGCGCGCCCTCTTCTCCACGCGGTGTGCCACGCTGGCGTCCCGCGTGGGCAGCAGCCCAAGGTCGCTATGTCCTCTCGCGTAGAGCCCGCTTGTGTTCGTCGCTCACGTGGTCGCCTTTTGGCGTTGTGGGGAGGTTGGACAAAAAAACAGATGAATGCGGCCGCTTCGCTAACCACCCGAGATTGTTTTGTATCCTCTGGCGTGTAACGGTCATGTTTTGGCCCCCCAGCCCAGGTAACGGTCACGATCGTACGTCAGGGGTGGGGTGGGGGCTGGCTGGACTCCCCTGCACATGCTGGTGTTCGCGCGAATGCTATGGCGATCGCGGCGCACCCCAGCCCCGACGTGCACACCCCGCCCAAGCGTTGCCGTTACCCGGGCGCCCCCCCCTCCCCGTAACGACCGTTACTGGGAGTCGTCGGTCCGACGCGGTGCCCCCCTTTCCCGAGACCGACGTGGAGCCCTGGACCCCCTGTCTTTTGCGCCGCTGTCCGAGCCGAGCCGGATCGATCTGGGGGTGTCCCGTGGCAGGATCTCAGGGTTGCGTTCGGATGCAGTTCCTGGGAGGTCAAATTCTGACCTTGCCCGGGTCCGAGATCCGGTTTAATCCAGCTCAATCCCGCTTGATGCGGCGTTCTCCCGCTCGATCCCGCTCAATCGCGTTTCATCCGCGGCCCAATCCCGCGCAGCAGCCCTCCAATGGGGCCCAGTCCTTCCGTGAATCCTTCCGGCGAAGGCGTCCCAGCTGTTGCCTCCGAGGTCGTGTCGCCCGCCCCCTCGTCCGCCGCGGCCCTCCCAGCGCCTGCCGGCCCAAGCAGGCGCCGTCTCCGAAGACGGCGAGTGGCTGAAGACGGAGGGCGGCCTGTACCTGCCCATGCGCTCCAGGGGCAAGCGGGCGCTCCGGTGGGGCCGAGAACGGGGGGGCGAGGAGGCCCCGCGACGAGGGGCGGGAGGCAGCCCAGAGCTGCGACGCTCTGCGAACGGCAGGCGAACCTGCCGCTGCAATTAGCTGGGGGAGCGTCGGGTCTCCAGAGGGTTGACAGGTTCAGGCGATCGCAAGCATTCAGAGCCCCGAATCATCAGGGGTAACTCGGGTCAGGGCTAACTCGGGTTCGTTTTTCGGGATTCCGAACCCGATTTACCCCGGACCCGAGCTACCCCGGATAATTCGGACGTCCAGAGCCCCAAAATCATCAGGGGTAACTCGGGTCAGGGCTAACTCGGGTTCGTTTTTCGGGAATCCAAGCCCGAGTTACCCCGGACCCGAGCTACCCCGGATAACTCGGGCGCCCAAAGCATGGCTCATGGGGGCGTGGATCAGCGACGGGTCCCGCTTCCATGGGACATCTCGGATCCCCAGCCTCCGAGCGAGGCGGCTCCTGGCCGCTTTCTGGGGGAGGGCACCTCCCCCGAGATCCGTGGATCTGGCGACCGCGCGCCAAATCCACGAATCGCCAACCCGTGTTTGTCAGGAGGGGAAGAAACACACAGACACTCGATCCCCAGGAAAATATAGGAAAATATGGGAAGTGGGGGGAAGACAAAAACCCAGAAACTATGAGAAAATCTCGGGAATCTGTTTATTTGTGTGTGTATGTGTGTATCTGTGTGTGTGTGTGTTTGTGGGCCCCTTCAGTTTGCGCGTTCCCGACGTCTCACGACGGGTGGCTTTTGCCCCTCTTCGGGCTCCGGGGGCCCTCGCCGGGCAACGCGTGGCCGGGACGGCAGCACGGCTCGGGGTGCAGGCTGGTGCCGCGTGGAGACCTCTGGGGCGCACCACGCCTTGGCAGAAGCCACGGCGGCCGGATGTCCATGGTCAGGAGGGAAAAAGAAAACAGACACAATTAATTGTCGATCCCCCAGAAAATATGGGAAAATATGGGAACTGGGGGGGAAGACAAAAAACCCAGGAGGCATACGAAAATATGGGGAATATGTTTATTTGTGTGTATTTATTTGTGTGTCCTGGGGCCCCTTCACATGGGGGCCCCCCCGGGCGTCAGCCAGAGTCCTCCTCCTCCCCGCCCTCTTGCCGCTGCCCAGAGATCCGGCGCGCCAGCAAAAATTGGAGCAGCGAGTTTCGGGCCGTTTTCGGCCTCCAATGGCGCGGTCGAGCAGTGATTCAGGTGGACCCAACAGGGGGTCCAGCGACAAGGGGGTGGTGCAATAGATTTGTGGGGTTGCAATGCATTTGGGGCGTGCAATGCATTCTGGGGCGCAAATGTGTTGCTGGATTTTCGCGTGCAGCACATCACTTGAAATACAATGCAATACAATTTTCCGGCGCAATGCATGTGCAATACAATTGCCCCAACTCTATTGCACCACCCCCTTTCAGCTGGACCCCCTTTTTGGTCACTCAAAGTGATACGACACACACGAAGCGACTTCGAGAAGGCGAGGAGGGGGGGGAGAAGGAGACCAGGCGGGAGGAGGGAGAGAGGGCGAGGAGGAGGCAAATGGACGGAGGACGGAGGAGGGAGGTGGGGGAGGAGGAAGGAGGGCAGAGGAAGCAGAAGGAGAGAGGAGGGATACAAGGAGGAGGGGGAGGAGAAGGAGGAGGAGGAGGAGAAGGGCATTCCAGCTCAAGATTGTCTAACGTAAGAAAGATATGAGGATGCGGAGGAGGAGGAGGAGGAGAAAGAGGAGGAGGAGGAGGAGGAGGAGGAGGAGGAGGAGGAGGAGGAGTGAGTATGACCTCGGCTGGAAGATGTTGCTCCTGCCGCAGGGGGCAGAGAAGATGTGAATATGGTGAGAAGAAGGAGGACGAGCAGGAGGATGAGGAGGAGCAGGGGAATGATAAGGTGAGGGAGGGGTGGAGGAGGAGGGAGGAGGGAAAGCACGAGACGGTTTCTGGCAGTTGGACTTAGGACAATTTCAGACTTTCAGACGCTTCTACGGTGCTTCGGGAGGTCTTTGCATGTTCTTCCCATGTTGTTCCAGGTATCTGGACGCTTTCGAAAAGGGGAGGACCTCCATCCAGACCACACGAGGAGATATGTCTACTTTGCTGGATCGCTACGCAGGCTCTCCCTGGCTGGGCTGGGCGGGCGTAGAGACCAGCGCGGCTGGTGCAACCAGACACCCGACGGCCAGAGACCTGTTGCCGCCAGCGGCATCCCGAGCCCTCGATCGCTCCCCTGGTGCCGAGCCTCGCCCCTCGAATGTCTCGATCCTCCCCTCCCTCCCGCGGCCCCCGGGGCTGGCTCCTCCTCCGTGGCAGCAGGTGTTCCGACGGCCACTTGGGGGCCGGGAGAGAGCCGCCCTGCCGCTCCCACCACCCCGTCCGGATGGGCGCGGAGGGCGGCGCGGCATGCCCGAGCCGCTCGGGGGCGGTCGGGGCAGCGGCCGCCGGCCTGCACACGATCGAGTGTGCCCTTCTCTTCTCAGCTGGCTGGCGCTTTATTCTCTGTTGTCTCGTGCGTGCGCGCTGACGCTGTTCGATCGCAGGTGGCACTTTCATCCGCTGCTCGCGCCCGAGGGCCCTCTGTGCCGCCGGCTAAAATAATGGTGTGCGCGTGTGTGTGTGTGTGTGTGTGTGCGCGTGTGTGCTCGTGTGCTTGTGCGTTGTGTGTGTGTGCTTGCGTGTTTGTGTTTTTGTGTGTTTGTGTGTTTGTGTGTTTGTGTGTGTGTTGTGGGCTTGTGTACGTCTGTGTATGTATATTTGCGAGTTGTGGTGCTAGTGTGTTTGTGCGTTTGTGTGTTTGTTTGTGTGTTTGTGTGATTGAGGCATTGCGTTTTGTGTGTTTGTGGCTTTGTGGGTTTGTGTGTATGTGTATTTTCGTGCTTGTTTGCTTGTGTGATTGTGTGTTTGTTTGTTTTGCTGCTTGTGTGTGATTGTGTTCTTGTGTGATTGTGTGCTTGTGTGATTGTGTGCTTGTGTGCTTATTCGTTTGTGTTTTTGTGTGCTTGTGTGTGTTTCTGTTTGTGTTTGTGTTTGTGTGCGTGTGTGTGTGTGTTTGTGTGCATGTGTGCTTGTGTCTTTTGTTTGCGTGTTTGTGTGTTTGTGTGTTTCTGTAGGTTTGAGCTTGCTTGTGTTTGTGTGCGTGTGTTCTTGTGTGCTTGTGTGTTTGCGTGCTTGTGCGTTTGAGTGTTGTGTTTGTGTTTGTGTGTTTGTGTGTGCTTGTGTGTTTGTGTGTGTTTGTGTTTGTGTGCTTCTGCGTTTGTGTGTTGTTGTGCTTTTGTGATTGTGTGTGTTTGTGTTTGTGTGTGTGTGTTTGTGTGTTTGTATGTGTATGCTTGTGAACGTGTGTGCTTGTGTGTGTGTTGTGTGTTGCGTGTTTGTGTGTGTGTGTGTTTTGCTTGTGTGTTTGTGTGTTTGCGCGTTTGCGTGTTTTTGTGTTTGTGTGTTTGTTTGCTCGTGCTTGTGTGCTTGTGTGCTTGTGTGTATGTGTGTTTGTGTGTGCGTTTGTGTGTGTGCTTGCGTGTTTGCGCGTTTGCGTGTTTGCGTCTTTGCTCGTGCTTTGGTCTGCGGGTGTGCGCGCGTGTGTGCAACCCCGCCCTGGTGCGTCCCGCCGGCTCTCCGGACGCGTCGGCGACCGCCCGCGCTGCTGACCAACACATCTACTTGCACATATGTGGGGGCGCTCCAAGAGGGGCCCTGCCTCCGAGCAGCGACGGCGCTGTCATTTTTCTGCCGCCGCGGCAGGGCGGTGGAAGGGCTGCGGAAGTACAGCGATGCCGCCTCCGCCGGCGGACGGAGGCTCGGCGGAAGGCGGCGGAAGAGGTGAAAACGTTTTTGGGTTCAGGATGTCCGAAATCGCCCAGATGTGCACATGTGCATATGCATCATTGTATGTCTATGTGTGTA